GTTCCTGTGCCCTGGGCTTGGAGCTGGGCCAATCCCTGTGCCAGGGCCTGGCTCCAGTGCCAGCTCAGTGTTAACACAGCGTGTTTTAAAATTTAAACAAAATTACAAAAAAGCCCAAGAATTTAAAGCTAGTAAAATGTAGGGCTTAAGACGTTCATAAACTAGTGGAAATCTCTTTACCTCGACAATTTTAAAGAGAAATACTGGAGAGAAGATTTGTCTCTTGCCCAGCAAGAAAAAAAGTGGAAAAAAAAGCATCTGCAGCCATTGTGTTCCCTGTTTATGATCTACCCCTTCCTGTTCTTCCTAGAGGTTTCATGTTCATTTAATCCTATTTTTCCTCAAAAAAATAAACCTCCAGTATGTATTTCAATTTATTCCCAGTCTGCTGTAATTAAGTTGCAGATAAACACATGGTTGCCATATGACAAAGTGATATTGAAAGGAAATGAGACACAGAATTTTGTGTACTCAGGCCTTGGTTATGCTGGGTTGGCTCTTCTGTAGACCTACAGCCTAGATCCAATTAGGAAAAATACAAAAATTATGGAAAATTATTGGCCACATTGTGAGCATGGTGACAAACTGAGTCATGTAAACTCATGGTGGAGTTAAGCATGAAAAATAATAATTTTTTGTAAACATGGAAGGAGGAAAATAAGTGGCAATGGAAATAGAGCAGGCACCAAAACAGAGAAGCTGTAATCAAGGGAAGAGAAAAGGAAAGAAAGAACAAAGCAGAGGGGCTTCCCTGGCAATGAGCACAGGCCACTGGATTTGGGGATGGTGGTCAATGGTTTCATGTACCTGTGCAGAGCATGGGCTGATCTACAAGGGGTAGCTGCAAGATTGAATCTTAGCAAAGGGATCAATGACTCAAGTCACAGGTCTGGGCTGATAAAAAGGGCAGGTCTGAAACCAGGTGGGTGCAGAGCACTTTTTATCCAAGTAACCAGCCAGCTGTGCCTGTGCTGCAGGAGGGAACCAGGCGTCTCCCGAGCCTGGGAGAGATTCTGGTAAATGTTTACAGGATGGCATTCAAACTGTTGTTTATAGAATCCCAGGATGGCTGGGGTTGGAAGGGACCTTTAAAGATCATCTCATCCCACCATCCCAGGTTGCTCCCAGCCCCCTCCAGCCTGGCCTTGGACACTGCCAGAGATCCAGGGGCACCCACAGCTGCTCTGGGCTCCTTGTGCCAAGGCCTCCCACCCTCACAGGAAACGATTCCTTCCCAATTATCTCATCTAGCCCTGCCCTCTGCCTGTGGGGAGGGGTTCCCTGTTCTCCTCTCACTACTTGCCATTGTCACACCTTCTTGTAGGCCCTCAAATCTGCTCCCAAAATTCTCCTTTCCTCTTCTAAAAAGTGAGACTTGCATGCTGGCTGTGTCACTTGTGATTTTAATTTTAAAAGCAAAGGACTGAGCCTGACTGAGCATGGGGGTGGGCTGGGACTGCCACGGGGACAAAACTACTTTATCATTTTAGACAAAACCACTTTGACCTTGTGCTCTTCTCGTCCTTGGTTCCACCGGCGCCGGAGGTTTGGGTGGTTGGCATCACAGGGATCACCAGCAGCAGGACTGGTTTGCTTGAGGAACTTTCCCTCAAGATGGGAAGAGGGGAGCTGTATTTATTCTGAGACTTAATTATGAGTGGTGAAGCTTCATAAATCCATTCTGAAAATACAGTGTTTCTGTGGGGTGTAATTCAGTTGAAGGGTTCTTGGTTACAATTCCTTTAGTTGCACAAAGTGAGAAACTTCCACTTTCTAAATGTGCCTTTACTGGTTTAGTAAACTCATTTTAAAAATTACTGATGTTATGGCTGTGTTGAGATTTGAGGTCTTGGTGCTCCCAGCCGTGTGTGATTTCAGTGGGTGATAACGTGGCCGTAGTTGAGCAAACCATACTGATAAATTACCCAGATCAGAGCCCAATCAGAGCCTCCTGGGCAGATTTAGAAATTGCTTCTCCCTGAAGAGGAGCTCATGGTACCATAACTCTTTATATATGTCCTTCTTCCAGAACAGCAAGTTCAGAATTAGCAGTAAAAGGGAGCTGTTGTCCAGCTGGGTGCAGTCTTGTGTTTTCTTGCTAAGTGGGATGGAAGTAAATTTATCTGCTTTTATCTGGCATCTCCCTTGACATTTTGTTTTGCATTTAGCTACAGCTAAAGCTCTTAAGCTGAACACATTTATAACATTTTCCTTTGCAGAGATTTCAAATGCAGAAAATTGCAGTGCAGCTTTAAACAGCTGCAGAATAATGTCTTTTGTTGAGAAATAGCTGCTACGAGTGTATTCCCTGGGATGGCTTCTTGTGTGTGTAAAATCTGCCATGGGAGCAGGGGAAGGCTGTGCACTCCATCACCACAGTCCCTTTGTGGTTTGAGACTATTCCTGTTTGAGACAAAAGTTCCCATAAGATTCCCTGCTTGGACTCCTGAAGGACCTGGAAAAACAATTTCCGTCTAGGAGTAATAATAATAGCTTGGGCTTTTGGTTTGGATCATAAGCTGACATTTAAAAGTCATCTGAGGAAAGATATTTCTTGATTAAAGTCAGGTTTTGCTTAATGCAGTTGAGACTGATCCTTCCCATCTGCTGTCACATCCTTGATGGGATCTCTTTCCCTGGCCTTGGGTCTGGTTTACGAGATCCCTCAGGAGTTCCTGACTTTCCCAAGAGACCTTTCAGTGGCTCAGCTCATTCTGTGTCTCTGGTTTTATTGCTCAGCTTTTCTTTTCCTTAAGGAAAACTTGGAAAGTTGCTCAGCAGAGAAGATGAGGTGGTAATGTGGTACCCACAGAGTGTTTGGAATTGGGGATCTGTCCATGCTCACCCCGTGCCTGGCTGTTCAGTCACCTGTCAGATCCCCACATCTTTAACTGTGGGATTCAGAACCTGTATTCATTATTTTCTGTGTGGAATGTAAGAGGCAGATTGTGTGACTGCATTTCCCAGAGTTCATTCCTGGAATTGTCAGTATTTAGAGTTGCTGCCTGAGCCTGGGTGTGGTACCTTTGCTTCCTGTCCCCACTTGGTGTTGGTGGAAGGTGGGAATAGCAGCCGGGATCCTCGCACGGGTCTGGGCTCGGGTTATAGCAAACAGGGATGTAGGTATTTGTGGTTTGGCTTTTTGTGTGTTTTGTGGATAGCTAAAAAATGACCTTTCCCACTGAAAAGCTGGATTTTATCCCAAATTCTGTGAATTTCACACAGGATTGGCTTCTCACAGCACTCAGGTTGGTTGCCAGAACCCCAGCACTGAGGGAAGGCACAGAACAGCCCTCGCTGTGTGCAGAACTCACTGGAGCTCCCTCTCCCAGGTACAGGGAAGCTTTTCCACAGAAAATCATACACTGGGCTTTCCTTGAGTTGCCTGTGGCTTCCATAGAATTCCCCCTCCCTCAGCCTGAGGGGAACGTGCCAGCTGCACAGGAACTCCTGAGACAGCCTTGGGAGCATTTCAGTGGTTTGGCAATTGTAACTCTTATCTGGTTCCCTCTGATCTATTTTCTTTGGTGATTCCCAAATGTCTGGGTGTAGGTGGATGAAGTGTGACTCGGTGTTTAGCTATGGGATATTGGGGATCCCTTGTAAATGAGGGATGCATGAGCTGAGTTCCAGGTAGAAGCTAATTCTGCATTTCCAGTATCTACTGCTCGGAGCTAAAGGATTGCTGGATCCTCCCAGGCCTCTGACACCAAGCTAGGAGAGCTCACAGTGGAAGTCAGGAATGGGTTATTGAAGAGGAAAGACTGGAAAACTTCTTTTGGTATCAGAGGGGCATAATTCCACAGGGAGTGAAGCTGGAAGAGGATCCCTGTTCTGCTGGATGAGGGACCTTTGATCAGCCACACTTCTAACACTGTAACTGCCCTGCTCAGTGTCCTCCCTTCTGTGTTTGTGTTCCTAGGATAGATCATGGTTGTTATCCTCGCAGTAAATACAGTACTGGATACTGGGTAGAAATTAAAATGAGCAAATTCCATGTGCTGTATGTCATTTGGCATCCTGCACAACCCCCCCTTCATTTTGTCAGAAATTCCTAAACCAGAGCAAGGTCACATCTGGTAGCAATTTTGCTCTGCCAGATGAGGCGTAATCCATAAAACCAATCTCATTTTCTCCAGTGCCGCTCAAAGCCGAGCTCTCCTGCTCCTTTTTTCTAAGACCTGCTGCTTGTACTGGGAGCCCTGTGGAATGATTCAGGCTTGGAGACTTTTCACACTTTATAAACTGCAAGGTTTGGAACACAGCTTTGTGTCCAGCACACGAGGCAGGACAAGCAGGGCACAGCCTGGAGTCTGTGGCTCCATTCAGTTTCCTTTTCCAGCAGCACGTCCCTGCAGGATGCTGCTCCTTGGTGTCTGTGCATCCCCTCCTTCCCTGGGTAACCTGGCACCTGCAGGATCCATACAGAGCTACAGCTACGAGTGCTTTTAAAAGAGCTCTGGAGCTCTGAGGCTTTCACAAGACATGTCAAACACATCAGATGGACTAACAAAGTAATGGAGCAACCATCAACCTTTGCACATTGTAGTAACTGAAAATAATTCCCAGAAACATGGAATTTTAATAGGAGCCAGTACTTTTGTGTTTGATCATGTTGCTGCTGTCCCGTGTGTTGCTAACATTGGTTATTTTGGTATGTCATTGGTTTAATTACTCTTTCAAAGCCTTCTGTGGAACTTGGTGTCCATCTCAAACCAGAGTGTACCGGTGAGGTGTCATCACTCACAGAGGCAGGGGGTGACATGGTGATGTATTATAAGGTGTTATTAAATCCAATTAACAAACTTAGTTAAAATAAAAATTTTCTTTCAAGGTTTCCTGGGTTTTATGTAAGGATCTCTAAAAAATAGAAACCAACAGGTCAGAATTTCAGAGAGTGAGTGTTGTTATTCTTAACTTGGTGCAATCCATTGTGACTGGGTAGGAACCACCTTATCTGCTGTGAGTTTTCTGAACCAGTTGAACCATTTTGTTCGCAGGCCAAGTATCCTGAAATCGTGAGCCTTCCGGAAGGACTGCTGGGAGATTTCATAATTCTAAGGAACCCCAAAGTTTCTGGGTAAGCCAATAAATGGATTTTTATATTTCCACAGGTGAGGGATTGCACAGGCAGGGCAGCAGCCTGGGTGCTGCAGCTCTGGGTTCCTTCTGTGGCAGGAGGAGCAGGGATCCCAGTCCCCTCCCAGCAAAGCCCAGTTCCTGGCCATTGCCTTGGTGTCTTGCCATTAAAGAACAGAAAGACAAGGGCATTTACTGTGCAGTGGAAGCAAAGCAACTGTGGCTATACTTTTCCATTGTTTTAGAAGGAGATCAGTTAGACAAAGGAATTATTACCTACCAGACATATGGGATTTGTTTGGCCTCCTCATGAGAAACGTTCCAGTACATTTAGGATTTTCGGCAGGGGAAAAAAAATCCTTACAGTTAAATGTAAGATGGTGTAACTATCACTGTCATGAATTCTGCAAGGGCCATGAAAAGCAACTATTTTGTGACAGGATCAGAACATTCCTTTCTCCTGTTACACCTTGCTTTAACATGCTTTAATTTATATGAAAATAAGGCACAGCTCCCTTAGTTGTGTTTGTGTGTAGAACTAGCAAACAAACCCTAATAGAGGATGCTGCTTCATTCAGCCAAACTTGCCTTTAAAACTAAGTGCTTCAGCTTGGGGGTGCAGGAATTAATTGTTCTTAGACTATCCCACATAGGGTAGAACTTGCTTTATTTTAGTTTTCCCTCTGGTGCCAGGTGCCCATTCCATTACCCTCATTCCCTCTCACCCCACAGTCATGAAACAAAGGAATATAAAAGTCATTTCAGTAGCTTGGTAGAAAACAGACTGGCATAGAAATTTGTTTGCAAAATCCCAGAGCAAGCTGTGCACAAATTCCCAAAGGATTTGTAAAAATAAAGTGGCAAAAGGCTGACAAATCACATTGGAAGGAAACTCTTAGAGTCATGACGGGTTGAACACCACGGAGAAAGGGATCTTGCTCCTCACAGTGAGTCACTGTGCAGACCAGCTTTGGATTAGGAAAGCCTTACTTCCAGTAAGGAAGGTGATGGTTGGAGGGAACAAAGGGAGCTGTAAAGCAGCAGCTCTGCTCTGGATCTTGTTCTGGACTCAGCTCCTGCCTCACCGTCCCCCGGGGATGGTGCAGTGATCCCATCCCACTCTGAAAGCTGGGAATCACGACTGGCCTTGCATAATCACCAACACTATTCCTGAAGAAGTAATGATATTGTTAGGCCTAATTTTTTTTTTTTATTAAAAGCAAAGAACTGCAGGAATGTAGGCCTTGCATAGATGTCTACCTGCCATTAGTCTAAAAAGGCCACGAATAGCAAGGTAGTCCTTATTCCAAACCCAGCACATCACCATTTATGTAAACACTTCTGAAACTAGTTTCCTGTTCTCAGCACCTGATCCTGAGTGTAGATCTTACATGAGGGATAGAGCCAGGGGACACTCAGTGATCTCCTTTGCTTTCCTCTCACTTTTACTGCACTGTGCAAATTGGATGTAGCCAGAACCTTTCCTTGTCATTGGATTGATGTGTTCCTGGTTCCTGAATCTAGAGATGGTTCTTGCATTATATGAGGCGAACTTTGTTGCAGAGCACAAGGTTCAGCCTTGTGACTGCTGCACTTTTATCTTTGAAGGAACCTCAAAGACAGCACCTGGTTAACTTGAACTGCTTTTCCTGTGCACCTGGTACAGGTTTGAATTGATGATTGTCTGGAAGATCCATCTTGATGAAGAAGGGATCACTACACCTGTCCTGGACCTGCTGCCCAAAATACCAGAGCAAGGTAATCTCAATCACTTCAGGGACTGTTCCTGAACTGCCAGGCTCTGGCTGGGGCCATGGAACTCCAACTCCCAGAGCCCAGCCACACAAACCCACCCCAATTCAGCAGCAGCTACACTTCACCTCCTGTGTAATCTCCAAGGGCTCACAAACCCTGTCTGCCTGCAGGCATCCTGCTTTACCCACCTCCTGTCAGCCCTGCTGCAACTCTTGGAAAATAACCTGCACTGCTCTGTTTCTCCTGCAGTCCTGGAGCAGAGGATGAGGAGTGTAGAGAGCATCCCTGGCAAGTTCCGGAGCGCACTCCGGCTCTTTGGGATTGAGGCAGCCATCGAGAACCTGATCAAAGTGCTGGGCTCAGGAGAATGAATGCCAGCATTACTTACACCAGGTAGCAATTTCAAAAGTAGTTTTAATTAAGATATTGTGTTACACAGTCTGTAATTTTATTGAATATAAACATTAAGTTATTTTCCATTTAGAAACCATACTCATAAAACATGCTATCTGTACAATTATGGCACGTTATATATAAATTGTCATGACATGAAAATAAATACAGCCATTTAAATACAAAAATGCCAAATAAAATAGTTACATGTACAGAGTGATTTCATTATAAATTTATCTTTCTGAATCATTAATGTACCAGAGTGGTTTATCTTCTTAACATTTTCTAGATACCTGGAAATTGTTAAAAGATCATGCACTGTCAAAATCAAGTCCATAAAAATCCAATTCATTTCACAGCTCTGTAAAAGTACAGTGATTTTAAAATGACAAAAGAACAGTAAAAGACTCCTAGAACAAAGAGTTAAACATCTTTCTCATTAAATTAGGGCAGAAGAAGACAATTTGAAGATTTCAAAGACACACAATGCTAAAAAACCCAAAGGTAACTGTATGAAGTAACTTTGTTCCACAATGTGTGTTGAGACAGCATTAATCTAACCCAGAGAGGCCCATGACACCACTGGGGAACTGGTGAGCCAGTCACCTCCTGCCCACTGCAGCACTTCTTTGCATTTCTGACTTCAGGAGGAAATCCTGGCAACACAACACCAAAGCATCACCTTTCACACATTCATCCCTGAAGAAATAAAACAACTCAGACGAATGCCTTGCCTCTCCCACATTCTATCAGATGTGGCACGAGCCCGTCTGGGAACTTACAGTGTTTCCAGGAGTTCCTGCTCTGCACTAGCACTGCACCCCAGCCAAACTGATGTGACTGGAAGTCAGGTACGTCTCAGGTGAGGCAGTTCCTGGAACCAAAAGCCCAAACCCCCCAGCTCTGGGCTCTCCTGGTAGGAAGAGCCATCCTTTCCAAGGCCAGAGCAGCTGGAGCCCCTGGCAGCACAACCACCTGCTCCATGCAGCAATGTGAAAGAGGTGAAGTCTGAACTACAGCAACAGTATGTTTCTTATCCCATAAATGTACTATTCCACTATTTGATCACTGAAATAGTCTCCCACTGTTCTCGTAGGTTAGGAAAAACTGACAGACCAGAGCCTGGTTTCTGCCAGACTCCAAACAACACCAGAGATAGGGTTTTGATTAATGGCAGCTCTACCTTGTTAGATAAGGCGGGCTCATTTCAAGATTGGATCCAGTACACAGGAAAATTCCTCCTTCTCCACTGACATGGAACTGGTTGAGCCAGTTTTGTGTAACCTTCAGTTCATCTTTAGCTCCCTCCTCCTTGCCTGAAAACAAAACTGTTTGCTCAGCACAGACACTGCTGTTTGCATATGAAACGTGTAAAGTTACAGCATAAAAACCTGGGAACTTCCCAGCTGTGCAGGGTCCTTCCTTCCTCCTCTTTCTAATAGCTGGAGGGTTTCTGGATTTCTAAGGAGCTCTTCTGCTCCAGGTTTTCTTTGGGAAGAAGGGGTCATTCCTGCTGCCAGCTCATTGCACTATTGTAGTCTCACATCTCAGGCCCTGCCCCAGAAGGGCTCCTGGCACTGCCAGCTCAGGTCTCTGGCACAGGGACAGTAGTGGCTCTGTGTTTCACATTTCTTCCTTGAGTTGTGCCAAGGTACAGGAGGTCCTATTTTTGAAATTCAGGTAAAGTGGAACAATTCAAAGGCTACACTGTTTTTAGGACCCTGAACACCATTGCTGGTAAGCACAGGCTGTATCCAGGTAAGAGCTGTTCACTGGGGCTGGAGGAGGATCTCTGCACCATTCAGGGGGTGTAATCCTTGAGGGGAAAGGAGCTGCAGATTTTATCATGGCACCCTCGGGTTTGGTAATACCCTTCAGATCCAGCTCAGGATCTTCCTCAAGGATGGCTTTGCTGCAGCATCTCCCCAGCTTTCAGCTGCACAAAGCACTGCTCATCTGCAGCACTGACACAAGCTCACCCTGGCACAAGACTGACCCACTGCAGCTGTAGGGAAGAAAATGGGGTTCTGTCACCTTTTCCTGTGTCATTTACAGCAAAAGAGCCTGAAAGCAGCTGCTCATGCTACGCAGTGTGTGGGGCATCAGTGTAATAGTGCCAATATTTGACACTACTGAAAGACCTGAAGTCACCTCTAAAGTTCAGAATATATTCTTCTTATAGCTCAATTTAAATCAGGCAAGAGCAAGTTGTGGTTTCACCTCCAATAGCAGCATATAATGTACAGAGACAATAAAAAACAGCATGGCAGGCGAGTTTAGCCCAACTACTACGTAAAACTCAAGGTTGCTTACCTTAACCCTTTGCACTTTGTTTCAGAAGCTTTAGGTGGATACAAGGTGATCACACAACTTCTGGAGGCAGCCTGGTGTTCCTAGTCCATGCATTAGTACTGAAATGTAAGTGCAGTGCCAGGGCAGTTCCACAGAGCAGCCACTGCATGGTTGTATTTCCAGTGGATTAATGCTAAAGTGTTGTATAGGTTTTGCCAGAGCATTCCCTCATTTAGTAGGGATGAGGGAGACTCAAAGCACAGGGTCCAAGGTAATTCTCTTGTTAGTAATTAGGCTTTCTATGTTAGTGCAATACTTCAGGAAACCTTTAATTCTGTGCTCTTTCAATTCTAAGGAAGTAGATTTTTCATATTAATTTGATCTGTCCTCTAGTTCCAAGGTATGGCACATTACCTGTTCTGTCACATTAAATACATTCATTAAGGTTACCTAGCAAACATGTGGCTTAGTGCTATCCCAGGTCTCTGAGAAGGCATTACCCATTAGAAATCATTTCATAAAGCAAAAACATTCACAGCTGAAAAATGCACTGAACACAATAGAAAAGGAAAAAAAATCACCATAACTGTATTCCAATATCTTTCACTTTCTCATGTGTTTGAATAAAAATAACCTTAAGGGAATGGTTACACTTTATGGAGAACTAATGTGCAGTCTTCATTCTCCTTGAAGAGGTTGGACATAACTGGGTCCTCTTTGGCCTGTACATTTTTCAGGTAATAGTTGACTATTTCACCATCGAGTTTGTACTGGTGGGGGATGCTTTCATAGGGCTTCAGGTCCAAGTCCAGCACAGAAACAGAGAAGATGAATCTGGATTTGGATGTCAGTACCACAGGTCTTTGCTCAGAGCTGGAAAATAAAACCACATTGCACATCTGAGTCACTGAACCCAGTTTTATTAATTTATGTGTACCTTTACAGAAGTGACTCTAATGTTTATCTTAGAACTTTTGTGGGAGCTCAAGAAAATAAACTGCAGCTAATGTAGCACTTAGGAAACTATAACTCCAGCTCTACCAGTCCTGATGGGACCTTGCTGGCATCTCTTCTTTTCATTTTCCTTTCAGCTTCCACACAGCTGAAGGCAAACATTACTCTCACTTACTGTATTTAGTAAATCTAAGCTGTTTCTAGGTGGTGCATAAAAAGCAACAGCCTTATTAACAGCAAAAGCAGAAAAGGGACTGCAACTCCTACTTAGGTTCAAGGTAATAAAACATTTCGTATGCTGTCCAAGCATGCTATGGGATGGAGGAGTTCTGAAGTCAGGCATTGCACAAGTCATGTCCATCACTAGCACTTCACTGGAGAACTGCAGACAAATGCAGAAAACAGCATTCTCTAAAAATAAAAGGGCTCTGGTGAAGCAAAGGCCCCTGCAGAGGAACAGATTAGCACTGCTGACACAAACCAAAAGGGATAATATTGTGGCAAAGCCTCCTGCTTGACAGCCAAAGCTGTCACCTCTTGATTATTGCCTTGGTTTTATTCTAACTAGGCCATTAAAGGCAACTCAGCTTGAGAAATCTCTCCTTTGAGAACACCAAGGCAGAAAAACTGTACCTAGTTAAAACCATCCAGAGCTACTATGAACAGTCAATTCAAAGTTTAAGAAGGGAATAAATATAAAAGCTTGATCATTTTGATCAATTTAGAACTCTTTAGAAAGAGATACTGATCATAAATGTCTTAAATCATTACTATACTAAAATGCTCACAGCCAAAAATTTGGATACACCACCCCCCAACATACATCCCACACTTTTTTTAAGTGACTGAGTTGCCTGAACAGTACAAACATCCCAATTTCTAAACAACTGGAGCCATTCCAAAGCCAGTGCAGGCAGCTCTTACCATTCATCTTGCAGGCAGGGGGATAGGGCAATCATGATGGAACAGTCTTTAGCAGTCATTGCTATTCTGTACTGCTGCACCTGTACAACAGAAAATAACACAGGTTTTCTCTTAGAGAGGTGTTTACCTGAGTAAAGCATCCTGTTCCTTAAAAAAACAGCACTGCACTCCCTGTATTGGTATGTTGGCAGCTTAAGAACTGGAAATTCTCTCTGGAACAGGAGATTGGCAGGAGCAGGTGCTTTTGCAGCATCCTGTATAAAAGTAATTTTTATTTCCTACAGATCATATTCCTAAAGGCCAAACAGCACCAGTTCCTGCAAGTGCTTCCTCAGTCTAGAAAGGAAATAAACACTTTTATTTTTCTCTCAGGAACTGGTGCTACAAGTTTGTTTTTAACTGCTTCTGGTATAAAGATGCACCCTGACACAATGAGGAACTTTAACGGCACAGACCCTGACAAGCCAGCAGTGCTGCCTCCATCCATTATCCAGCCCTTTCAGTGAGACAGAGGTTAATTAACACTGACAGACCAAACAACCTCAACAAGTTGGGAAGTACCTTCGTTAACGCAAATGCCACTGTCCCATCATCTTCCAGGGAAAGGTCCAGCAGCTTCTCATAAAACGCTTCATTGTAAGGTCCATCTATCTGTAAGGTACTTCTAAATAAATGTTAAAAGAAGATTTACAGACAGCCAAAATGATGTGCTGGTTTTCAGTGTGCTCTTTCCTCAGCAGCCCAGAGACTCAGATAAGAACAACCCAACAATAACACTGATAAACATATCCAAGTATTAACCCACTGGCAGCCAACACCACAACAGTCCCTACTACTCTCAAATCAGTCAAGATTTGCTGCTGCTTAGGATCTGGGTTGTGTGGGATTTTATAAAATGAATCATTCTTAATCCACTGCCATCTCTGTACCACTGCAAAATTATGAAGTTTTTGCAAAAAAATGGGTAAGTTTCAAAATTTGTAGCCGTCTGCAAGACCTCCAGCTGCATTGCTGAAAATACATATATAGGAAATATATAATAGTATCTTGATATTTATTTTTATATGTATATTATA